TTCGATCATATATATATATATATATATATATATATATTACCAGTGCACCTCAAATTACTACATCATTTATTAGTAAATTTACAATTTTAGAGTTCTTAAAATTATAGATAAACACCAGTTAAAATATGAAATTTCATCTTAAAATATTAAATTTCATATTTTAAAAATATGAAAAAAATTTTAAAATATTTGAAATTTTATTTTTAAAAAATAAAATGAGTTTTTTAAAAAAATTAAAAAATAGTAAGATGATAAAATATCAGTAAAATCAATATTTACATCACCAAGTCAGCGACTATGTTGATATTTTTAACGACAAAAAATTAACGAAATTAATAATTAAATTAAAATTATCAAATTAAAATAATATAAATATTAAACTTATACGAATTATAGTATAGAGATTAAATTTTAAATTTTCTAAAAGAACTTTGACTTAATTTGACCCTATATGAATTTATACATTAGATAACCAATTTTGGCAGCATTATTTTTTTAATGAGTTAAAATCTAGGCCAACCTTTCATGCTTACGGTAGGAAAGGAGGTGGAGAAACACCCACATTTTTTTTGGGTTTCATTCAACACAACCGTAAGATCAATTGTTCATTCCTTTATTTTTTCAGTACCTTAAAACCACTAGTTTTTAAAATTAGTAAGTCTAGTAAAATTATCAATTGTTCAGTACCTTAAAACCACTAATTTTAAGTCTAGTAAAATTATTTTTACTGATAAAATAAGTCTAGTAAAATTATTTTTACCGTAAGTCTAGTAAAATTATCAATTGTTCATTTATCATATCATATTTTATACGATATAAATACATATAAATATAATATTTTTTTAGAATGATATACAGAGTTATCAATTAGATCTATGTATTGATTGCATGGTGGATGCCTGCTTGTAAAACAAAAAAAATTTTTGTTGGATTATAACCATTATTGTCATTCAATTAAGGATGGCAATAAATAGATAACAATAAATAGTAAATAAACAGATATTTGTTATTATTTGATATATTTATGTTTGATTTGGATAATTATAAATAGTTAATTGAAGATTTAGATATAAAATTTATTATATACGATAGATTGAGATAAGATATAAATAGTATATCCTAAATATCTAATATTCAAATTCGTTTAAATTTTAATAAATAATAACAGATATCCGAATTTATCAACTATTTACATATGTAAACTATGAAGAATTTTATACTTGTGGTAGGTTTTCAACTTTAGCAAATAACCTTTATATATTATTAATGAACTTGAATTTTAAATTTAAATTTTATTTATTTTATATTTTGACAAAAAATTTAAATAAAAGAATATTTTAATTAATTCAAATATTTAAAAGAATAATACTTGTTTAAATAGAATTGGATTTGCATATTAATACTAAACTTAAATGAATATTTAAATTAATTCAGATCTTATAAATATTAAATAAATTTCAATACGAATACTTAAAAAATAGTGATATACGCTCCCTTGTCAAACCTACGTTCAATAATTCACTCTGTTAACCACAAATCATCATGAGCTCAACTAAATACTCTTGAAGGCCAAAATGAAAAAAACTCTTAAAAGCCAGAGACTGAGAGAGGTTTGGATTGATATAATAGAACATTGTGTACAAAATTGGAACATTCAAAGAAATTTTACCCAAAATCAGTGACCAAACACTTCCCAATCTCACATTCTCGTAATTACAATGCTACATAAACTTATTGAACATTGATCTCTGCTTAAGCATTGAATTGTTTTGCTTGTCCATTTAATTCCATGCTTCTGGTCATGAGTCCAAAACTCTTTATAATTCGAGCCTCTCTCAAGCAAAGCAAATTAGAGCCACTGTTTTACAAATCCCTTTCAAGCAAAAACAATGGAAGGTTCAAGCGCAAAGTGTTACATCCTTGTATAGCAGGAAATAGAAAACCATAGACAGAACCACGGGAAGAAAAAGGAAGACTTTCTTTGAGAAAACTGCATGATTTTCACACCCTTCTTCAAGAATGGTCTCTAGCCTGGGAAAGCTGGAAGATTTTCGTGGAGAAATGAGACGGGCATGTGCCACTGCACCCCAGTTTTGCTTGTATCCCACCCCTTTCATCATCTCTAAAACTGAGAAAAGCTGATCAAGATTGGAGTTTTGTTTGGTTTTTCATGGTGGGTTTTGGTGGTTGAAGGAGATTGTTAAGGGGCTCTTGAGGGAGAGATTGATATTCGAGGAATTGGCTGAGGAAAGCTTGGAGATCAAAGCAGAGTTTATATAGTGGGGGATTAAGGAGTTGTTCCACTGCTTAAAATAAGGAAAAACAGAAGGAAAAAGACTGGAACTTGATCGGCAATTTAGTCCAGAACAGACAAGATCAATATTTAAAGATGGAGGTTAACCCACGTGAGCAACTTATCTTAGCTCTGACCTTGTCTTTTCTATTTTTATTCCAGTTTTTGTTTTAGCAAACAGTCTTTGTTTCTAATTTTACCAAAAGACAGATTAAAGAATTTCATATACACTTTAAAAATAAAAATAAAAGGCAGATTTTCAAGGGATATAAATAGGATCTATTTTGCTATAATTAGATAAGATAATTTAAAATACGTTATAATAATATGATATAAATATAATATAAAATTAAAATTAAAAAAATAATATGATTTAAAATTTTAATAATTATTATATATAAATTTAATAAAATCAAAAATATATATTTTATATTTTTATGTTAATACAAATTATGACAAATAATTTGTGTATAAAATATAATATAAATAAATAATTTTTAATATTTTATCTGATTTGAATACATAAATCGTTAAATTTTAATATGATGTTATGGATTAAAAAAATTTTATTGGTCAAAAAAAATCTTTTGGATTATTTATTTATCGTATAATTGAAGTTAATTGTGTGAATTTTTTTAGGGTTCAATTGAAAACTAATCTCTATAGTATATAAAAACCATGAGCTTTCCCTTGTTAACCAATATTGGGGATTCAATGTCGAGAATTTTTAGTTCGTGGCATTTTGGTTTTTCTCAAACACCTTGTGGGTATGTTTCTATAGTAAATTACTTCGATCTCAAATAAAAAAAATTATATTAAATTACTTGGTGTATGTAAGATCATACATACTTAATCAGTATGATCAAGACAACACATGAAAATTTCCCCAAGGAACAGGCAATTGGATGTCTTTCTTCCGTCAGAAAACAACTGGTCCATTCTTATGAAGTTGAACTAATCAAATTTCGACCTATAATTTTATGGATAAAGATTAGGAAAAATACAACTGAGACCCTAAAGGTGCAGAATTTATATGGTCAGAGTTAATGTTCTTCTATTTAAATTTCATTTCTCTTTGTGGGACAGAGGCACGTGCGATGGATACTACTGCATGTGGCGATATGTTGGGATAGATTGATTCGGGTCTCTTTCAACGGGCTATATATACAAAAAGAAAATGATAAATCAGAAAAATTATATAGGAAGTCATTCTTCCACCACTGAGCTTGATGTTGGAAGAACAAGCTTCATTTTACAGCCAAAACTGTAAGTGTTGTTGTTCATTAGGTGGACTAATACGGTATCATCTGCATCCAAATTCTCTTCTATCATTTTGATCGAGATAGTTAGAAAAACAATGATTAATTATTTTCGTCCAATTAAGGGTTTGATTCCAAAAAAAAAAAGAATTTAAGATTTGATTAGTTGTAATAAACTATTAAAAATTTAAATAATTACTGAATTTTTATTTAATTTTTAAAAAATTCTTTTACCATTATTTTATATCTAAAGCTTTGGCCTAATACATAAATGAAATGAAAAGGCTGTATTGACATAGTGAAAAGATGAAAGTGGTTATTGCAGCAGCATATCTGGTAGTTGCTTGTTTCGGAAGCAGGTATTAATTTTGAGTAGTGAATTCTAAGTAATTTCATGCTAGACAAAAGAATCAGAAAGACCATAATAGAAATTAAGTCTCTATCTCGAGCTAATACTTACAGGAATTTTTGGGATTCAGCACTCACCTTTCCACCAACAATCAAGGTTCCATTTGGGAAATTCAAAGGATGTACATTCTTTCCAAACTCATGATCCACTTCACTCTTCCAGCAATGTTCTTCCTGTTGACCTCGAGTTCTGCGACCTTATGATTTTATCTGTGACCTTATTACAAGTTATTAATCTAGTAGCTCTTTGGTCTTTTTGGATCTCTTAGGTGCAACTTCAGCATATATTCATCTTCATCCTCTCGATAATACGAGGAATCTGTTATTCAAAACCTCAGTCTCTGCTTTTTTTTTTCTTTTTTTGATTTTCCAATATCTAGTCTGTAGGTTATGCGAATTTTGGCTACATACATAAACATATTTGAACTATTCAGAAGTGCTGCTAATCATAGTTGGCCATCTAGAAATCAGCGAGGAAATTTTATGTTGGACATGTTTGCTTAGCAGCAAATTCAGAAAAAAAGTAGTAAATGCGTCTTTCAACTTATAAGCTGTTATCCTAATCTTGGGCTCGTATATAGAGATCCATGGATAATCGGCTAACTGCTGTTGTTAAGAACCTATATCAACTGAAGTAATCATTTTCTCACTGTTTGCAGTCATTTACCGATGTTAAAAGTCCTGATGATTTGAGGAAAGAGTAAATGAGGCCCCCAAGACGACTAGAGATGTCTTTTATTCTAATCTTATACACAATATAATTTATTTATTAATATTACAAATCACTCTAAATTATAATAAAATATTCAATATAAAATTTAATTTTAAAATTTTTTTAATATGATATTTGAATTAAAAATATGTTAATTGATATAATATTTAACACGTGAATGACCAATAATCTTTCAAATATTATATTAATTAAAAAATTTATAATTTAAATATTACATTAAAATTTTTTAAAATTTAAATGCTGAACATTTGACTATAATTCAAAAGTAATTTGTGACATTATTTCATTTACTAATATTATAATATAAATAAATGCAAGTTCAAGATGCATCATGTTTTTACCCAATTTACAGTTTGTTTGAATGGTCACCAGAGTCCATCCCTCATTTTTCCTAGATGGTCAAATAGATTTACAAGCATTTGTATTTATATATGCCTATATGGAGATGATGTGATGACTCTGGGATTTCATTACTTTCCTGCATCCACATAAGAAACATCTCTCTAGATGCTTAAACGAGCAAGCCAAAATCAACAGGGATCAATCAAGATTCCCTTTTTCCATCAATGTTCTGTATTATATGTAACATATAAACGTCTTACTTCAATGTCAAGACATAATCACATTTATGGTGTTTAACACTTTGTATCATAGCCAAGTTGTTTCTACTGCATTTGCATGAAGCGTAAAACATGGCGCTGAGGATAAATTTAATTTCTCTGTTTAATTTTTCTAGTTTTGTTTACATGAGATTTCAAAATCTGCAACGATAGCAGAACTGTTGATTGATTGTACAATTTCCATGTTTCTCCAGAGTGCTAATCTATCTTTTGAAAGAAATCAGTGGTTCTTTATGGTTGAATTGTCATCCTTTTGTTATCGTTACCTGCAAGCAAAACAGCATAAAGGCATTAAAGGCAAAATCAAAACCCAAACAGCCATTCACAGACGTTACAGACCAGGAAGTCAATAATGTCTTACCTATGTCTAAACAATTGATGCCCATATCCTTTGCACTAGGCCATTCAGCCTGGCAGGAGAAGATATCTTTCCTTCGATGAGGTTTTCAGCTGCTGGTCCCATTTCATGGACAAATTTTACAGACTCCGAAAGTCGATTGAGTAGATTAGTCAGGGCAATCACTTCATTCCGTTGCAACTGCAACAAAGTATCAAGAAAATGAACTTCAGTGCAAATTAAAAGTTCCATACCCGTAAAATGAAAAAAAAATATGTACCTTAGACAAATATACTTACAGCTAGTTGCTAATGGAAACATAAATATATCCCACAATATGATAGAAAAAAAAAAGTAAAATCCAGCTTCATACAGATAACTTAGAAACTGATCTTTGTAGGGATCAAAACCATTTTCATTCAAACAATGGCATCCACATAGGCCATTTTATTGGAAATAAATATATATATTTTTGCACAATATGGAGACCATATCAAACACATGGTGAATCCAAAATAGCATTCATTCCCGTGACAAATTTAACAAGTTCTAAATGAAATGGTAGATCGAAGTAGCCATGTCTATATCAACTTTGAGAAACTTGTAGCCACTATTTCTTCTGGACTCAACATCAAGTATAGAGCAATGTGAAAAAATCTAAAGTAGTATTTAGAGTCAATAGATGATTCTCAACGAAAGAATTTTGCATAATTGCAGAATTGGCACCAGCACATCAACTGCAACAGAAAATGAAGTTACTTTTGATGTTTCTAGGATTTTTTTTCCCAAATGTTATATATGACACCATATTAGGTCAGAATCCATGGAGCTTCAGTGGCTTCAAAAGCATTTCATATAGGCAAAAACTCTAGCTACTACAGCTGGAAAAGGAATCTTGATTATAAAGTGACAAAGTTTGAATGTTTGATCATCCACTAGAAAGAAACTAGACCTGAAAATTGACAGTCAAAAGTAGGAAATGGTACTTACTGTCTGATGTGAGTGCCCCTTGCCATTAACAGAGAATAGAACCTTCAATGCAGTTCCAAGTCCAAGAACCTGAAGCTTTCCCCAAAGTCGACATTTCTCACACCCTACACAGTCCATCACCGCACTGCAAAATCAATGGTAATTGTTACATCATTGCAATAAGCCACTTGAATCAGTGGCACAGATATCAAAGGTCAAAAATCAAAGAGAAAGAGGAAACAGTTCATTGAAGTTTTTCTGCTAGTGAGGATTACTAAGAACATAAAGAGAACATAAAAATACAATTTCAGATTTCATTTCCTCTTGAGAATGTTGAGTTTTGAATGAATTCAGACATGTCTTAATGGGCCAACACAAATATGTAAATGCTTTTTCTCATTTTATATGTTCAATCATATATGTAGAAATAAGAAATTGCAGCTTTTTACAAGCATTGACAAAGAGGAAATGAGAGAAACCTGATATTTTTGAATTGTGCTTGTACTTTCTGTTTTAGTTCGGGTCCTCTTTGTCCTTTCCACAATTTAGCTTCATCAAATGGCAGCGGGCATGCAGCTTGCAATTTTGGATTATAAAGTAACTGTCTCATTAGGGACTGTGTTTTTAGGTCCTCGGTTGGATTACCAGTATCATATTCAGCTTGTTCCAAGTAATTAGCTGCCTGAAATAAATCAAGCAAGCTCTAGTAAACAAACATACTCCAGAATAAATAAATACTTAGACAAGTAAACATAGATTTATCAAGTACTTGCTCAACATGTTTTTTTTTTTTTTTGCCTACTTTTATGCTAGGCTCCTCAAGCACAAACATTATGTACTCATGCTACTCACCTTTGTCACAGCTCGGAGAACAAAGAGGAATGTGAAGTACAAGTTTTCAACACGATATGGATATCTTAAAACCTGATAATACATTAATTTGAGATTATGGCCCCACTGAAATTAGGAAAAATAAAAATAAAGAAACAATGTCAGATCTTTGTACCATATTGTACACCTAGGAAATAAAATTTATAAATGAGCAAAAGACAAGTATTGAATGACAAGAAATTGAGAATTTATACCAAGTTTGTTGCTTCATCAAGTAAATAATCAGAAGCTATATGGATTGAAATAGATGAGTGAAGACCAGAAATCAATTTGTACAGTATTTTTTCTTCTTGGCATAACTCTTCAGCTGGATCTGCATAACAGAGTAAATATGAATAAAGAATTTTTCTGAAAAAAGTAAGTGACTCCTCAGAATGTTCCTATCTTGCAGTAAGGACATTGCAACTAAGTGGACTCAATAGAACAAGAAACATGGACTCAATGGAGGTTCATCACCAGGCAATAAAAAATCCAATACATCAGTAAGTGTTCATGTTTGTGCGTCTGTGTTAGAGAGAGAGAGAGAGAGAGAGAATAGGAAGTTTGAAATCTAAAGCCAGCCTAGTTCCAAAAATATCAACAATAATAAAAATTTTATGTAGCAGGCTCTGATCAGGAGAAGAAAACTCTGTACAAGCTCCATAAGCCACAAAGGTATAATGAACAAGTCATAAGGAGGAACCATAACACAATTAGAAAAGGATATTCAACACTTTAAGTTATTACGCCAAAATCAAATTGCTTTAAGGGGTAAGGGCCTAATGCATCTAAACATACAAAAAGAGCTTAGGCATCCTTCATTCACACACACGTGTAAAAGAAGAATTAGTTAGAACTCACATTTGGGACAGTTCTCTGAGTAGACAGCATCCCATATCCTTCTGGCCGATGGACCAGTGTAGCCAGTGTAGCGCTCCAGGTTCAGTTGAAGATTCACATATGTCATCTCAGCTGCAAATGAAATTATACAATAACTTACGGGATCAATTTTTTGGAACACTTATGTTTAAAACACCACCATTTTCACTGCAAGTCTTACCATAACTAGCATTCTCAAGAGAGTAATAGTGAATCTTAACTTATTGCAAAGCATCAATTATTATTGCTCTTAAGGACATACGTAGCAAACTTGAGAGCATCCAATACATAAAAATAGGCAAAAAATAAAACTGAAATATGTCAGAACAGTTAAGAACAAATTTGGACTCACAATTATCTGTCTCATCATCATAAGTCCAGGGGTTATCTGTTTCTGTCCACCCTCTAAAAGCTTTACTATCTACTGTGTGATCAACAGCTGCCTGTGGCTTTCCTTCTTGGCACATAAGGTCATCTGATGGAAGGCCACGATGGTAGGGCTTCTTAAATGATTTCGGGAATTCACTTTCTGGACATTCACAAACACTACAATCCCGCAAAAGGCACATACCATCATCAGGCCAAAAAGGACAGTTACACCACAATTTAACCTGCACGAGGCAATAGAAAAAATTAAGCTTCAAATAAAATCAGGTGAGAGAGCTAACATAAAGCATGAATTTCAAATACAATATATAAACTAACCTTTTCATGCTAAGAGACATATAAAATAAAAGGTTTCAAATGAGAAAATCTATTATTATGCACTAAGTTTGTCACACATAAGCATCATAATAATAAGCTTATCAACAACTTAAACTAGCGTGAAATTTTTCATTCCATGCACATGTTTTGAGTTAAAACTTGCATAAAATCTTAGAATCACTTCCTTTTCACTCTACAAATAAAGCAAGAATTACTGTATTGAGTATTGCATTGAAAATAATACCAGATAAGTAGAAATGGGAGCTGCAACTGCATAGAGAGAATATTATAATTACTGAACAGAAAGTTATAACTGCTAAACTGGTTATTTGCCATACCGCTAATCTGGTAGTTTCCTGTAATTATATGTAATACATAACCATTTATACTGGAAAGCTTTCCAGTTCCCGCATCAACATTGTGAAAATTATCTCCAAAATAATAAAATTAGACATTCAGATAATATTTCCACCATACGATGGGCATTGGGCAGTAAGCTAACCTTGAAGTACCGAAAAAATGGGGTTTTAACCAGTTCCTGAAGTAATGGATGTAATACTTCCTCATTAAGATGGTCTACAGTCTCATAATCACAACAACAATCCTCTACAATCCCGCTATACTTGTGTTTGTCCTGCACAAATTAAAAATAAACCAGTCATTGCCTACAAACAAAAAGTCAACCGTTTCATCATTCAACCTAAAAAAAGAGGGGTTCAACAAAATGACAAAAGACAACGCTTTTCAATGAATTCGTATAAAAGCTGCTAAGAAGTTCATAAGTCAAAAGCTAGGATCACTAAAATACATAAATGTGAAACAAAATACTTGAATTGGGCACCAATTGAACAAAGAGGAAAGTAAAAAAAAAAAAAAAATCGTCTTCCTTTCATTCTAAGTTTCCTCCATTTTCTTAGTACCCAAACAAAACGAGACAAACAGAATCACTTTTCAATGACTTCATCTAAACACTACTAACAAATTCGTAAACCAAAGGACAGGATCACAAGAATACAAAAACGGGTAGTTGAATTTGGCGCCAATTGAGTAAAAACCAAAGTAAGAAAGACTTCTTTTTTCATTTCATTCCAACCATGTCTTACATTTTCCAAAGCGCCCAAACAAAAAGGAAATGGCTAAAAGATAGAGAAAATGAAACCTGAGAACAATGACAGGACTTGTTAGGGTTTCCAAACAGAGAGATCTTTGGTGTAGTCCTTGAAGCCAAAGCAATAGCAAGAACAATTGCAATGAAAGCTCCAATCACCCATCTACACCTCATTGTCTCACTCTTCTTGCTCTTCTTTACCTCAGATTCCACAATCCGCCACCTTTTCAACAAAATACAAAAAGACCCAGATTGCAAAAACCCTGAAAAACCTTGTTCGGTCTCCAGCAATGAAAAGAAAACGAAGAGAAAGTTCGTAACAAATACTATATTTCAATAATAGAACCGTAATTGTAAAGGGTAATGGAATACTGGGTTCTTCAGTTGTGTTATTCAAACAGAAGATTTTGGGGTTATAAAAGGTAGAAAATCCTGGATTTAAAGGGGATCAAGAATGAGAGCAAGATGATGCAAGAAATTGTGGGCGTTCTCTCTTCTTCGATGGTTTTTGTTCCTCTGACTGTTCTTCATGGTTTCAAACCATGGGCAACCAAATCCAATGGGGAGAGATTAGGTGATTCAGGGTGCACCGAAACTAACATAAACTGCACCGAAAATAGAAAGAGGTGGAACATCCGACATGAACAGGAACAGAACCTTCGCTTGAAAGGATGACGTTTTTAATCGTTTTTGTTGACTCGACTTGGCGTTGACCATTTTTAATTAACCCAAAAATATTTAGAAATATTCAAAAATTAATGATTGTTTACACTAATCAAAATAAATAAATAAACTTAAAACTTTGAAACAAATAGAGAACCGGGCTGCGGCCTTTGGGCTATAATTTTGAGTCGGCTTAATATTTGGTGTTAGGTTAAATTTGGCCCAACTATCTTTGGGCTAAGATTGACTCGGCTCAATAAAACTGCAACGAAGTGATCAACTTATGGGATCATCGACCATTAGATATACAGCAGTCAAAGGTGTCAGACAAGTTTGACAAACAGTTAAAGAAGAGAAAGAAAAAGAAAAACCCCAAAGTAAATAAGCATGATTCTCTTGATGGTCACAGCTATTCTGTTTCAGGAAACGAGAAAATCATGGTCAAGTACTTTATCTCATATATATAAAATCATATCTTTCCACAAAGGGATTTTTTTTTTTAGCTAATTCCCGGAAAACCACATGGAAAATGGGAAAATAATTGCTTTCACCATGTAATCATTTTTTTCCTGCTACCTTTGGTCTGCCCTTGTCTCCTGCTGCTCCATCTTTGCTCTACGTACCCGGCAGTACCAACAGCTGCCTTACTCCTCTCTCTTTCAGTTGGACAATTCTGAGCATGTTAATTATTATGCCGAATCTCAGCACTTTATTTAATGTAACAGAACTCATCTGTACTGAACTATTACGTATTTAGAGAGTGAAGAAGCTTTTTCTTTATGGCATGATATCCTATAAGAAATAAGAAAAGTTTTAATTCCTGTAATTAGACATGGGATTTGGCTAGGTTAATGTATTGGTGAAATTAACTAATCAGAAACTAATGTGAAGAGCTTAAACGTCCCACAAGGGTTAAGTCTCGTTGATAATTAATACATGTGTGTTCAATCAAATTAATTATCCAAACACGTGTATACTAATCAAACATATGAAATTTCTTTAATTAGAGGGAAATCATCAGTTAGGAGAGTGCAACAGCAAAGGAGAAAAAAAAAAAGACAGTCCTTTTATTTCACGCCATCTGACTGGCACGGACAACCTAGATAACCGAGAGAGAGAAGGTTTTTTAACCCATAATTTTCCTGGGAAAATACCGTTAGTCAACCGAGGGATTTCTCATGCCATGCATGCCATTAGCATTTATTGTAAGGAATATGATATGTCACCATTTTGTTCCCCTACTGTCCAGGTGGATCTTTGTACTGTTTTCTTCTCCCTCTTTATCTTTCATTCCATCGCCGGCAATCACTTTATCATATATTCCGGCAGCTCAATGCATGCTTTTTTTTTTTTTGGCAATGTGGGAACAATTAAAGCATACTAGAAGATCATTTCTTCCTTCTATTGGACAATAATGATATACGAAAGTATTGCAAAATCGATTCCAGAAGCCAACAACAGAAGCAGAGAAACATAAATATAGAATTTAAGCAGTAATAACAAGTTAAGTTTGTATGATTAGATGAGAAATTCTCTGCTTTAATGCTCAGGAAAAAGAAGCTGGCAAGCAAGAAACAGGCTCAGCTCACACTGGCGTCACCCCGTACTCTGTACAGCAACCCTAGCTAGCTATTTATTGTTGAAAGAGAAAGCCTAGACAAATTGAAAACCCTTCCATTTTAAAGGATAAATAAACTAAAAGAAGAGATCAGAGCAAATCATAATCCATATATATATATATAATAAATATAAACATAAAAGTTAATTGATATAATAAGAGTTAGGTAGGCCTAGCTAGACCAGAATATTCCGGTAACTGGTGAGAAAATCAGAGCCAAAGTGCACCAGCTTCTTTGAGGAGAGGGACCAATGTGCCATTGATGTGGCAAGCCATGAGGGTTTCAATGCCACCAAGGAACTTGCCACCAACAAACACTGCAGGGACAGGTTGTCGACCGTTGGCGGCGAGCTGAAAGAGGACAGCTTGAATATCAGGACCAGCGACATGGTGATCGAGTTCGATGATAGTGGGGCCAACGCCAAGGCCGAAGAGGAGGCGTTTAGCCACAGTGCACATGCAACAGCCACTCATGCTGAACAGGACTACAGCGTTGGTGGCCGCCAGCTGCCTCACTATCTCGTATGGATTGTCAAGCTTCATCGTCGCTGATGCCTCGCTCTCTATTGCTATGTTGCTTGCCATTCGAATCCCAGTTTTCTTTGCCACCTGCATCTTTGGGTTTGATCACAACGGCAAAAGACAGTGTAGAAGAAGAAAAATGTGATGAAACTTTTAAAGGGAGATGAAGCTAAAAAGAGACGATAAGGTGTTTTTAAAGGTTGAAGAGAGGAGGGGATGGTCAAAACAACTAATAAATGAGAGCAAGGTGAAAAGAGTGGAAAATAAAAGGTTTTTTGTAGATATTTTTGAAGCTGTAGGGTAGTGACACACTGGGAAACATAAAATAGAATTGACTCTATCACTTTTATAGTATACATATATATATATAATAACTATTGCTAGTACTTGTTTTGAATAAATGAAACATTCTATATTGCTACTAGGGCAAAAACATTGCTGATATTTTATAGAACCAAGAAGGTGTGAAAAGAAAGAAACACCTAGAGAGATATTCAAAGACATGTAGGAAAGGAATATGAAACCCGAGAAAAAGAGACACAGAGAAAGAGAGAGCTGGTACCTGAAATTGAGTCGTCCCGGCAAAACCTGACGGCCTTGAACTCTGCCAACTTTGTCTTCCAATTGTACGGACAGCAGTCAGTAACCTTCCTCTAATCATCCACCTTTAGAGGCATGCCTCCTTTGCCCTGCAACGCTTACATATATATATATATATATATATATATATATATACCACAAAAATAAAAATATAATTTTTATATTTATATTTAATATATTATTAACATATAAATTTTATATATAATTAATGAATTAAATGATAATATTTTATTAATAAATAAATATTAATTTTAAAAATAAATATATATAAATTAAAAAAATTTTAAAAATTTATTTATTAAAAAAGTATTATCATTTTATTTAACTTATTAATAAATTATTTTATTTGATTTATTAATAGTATATAAAATTTATATACGAATAATATATTAAATATAATTTTTTAAATTTATTAAATTTAAAAATATTATTTTAATTTAAATGAATCATAATTTTAATTTTAATTTAAAAATCTAAAAAAATAAGAAATACACTGATATAAATATATTCCTACTCTTTATATATAATTAGCTAGCAATAGAAGAATATATGATTGAGCTTTGATAAATTTATTAATATTTTTTCAAATTTTCAAACTAACACGCGCCTGCAGTCAAAGGATGAAGAAAATCAACTTACTATAGCGAGAAAATATAAAGTAAAGCACATTCAAAAAAAGAAAAAAAAAGTGGGTTTGGTGGAGGGAGATCAGACCAGAGATGACTGTGAAAGACGCGGCAAGAGTGGGAGTGGGACCCTTTTGAAGTAAGAGTACCAAAATATCCCTACAGAAGGATTCTTGTCAGTTCTACTCACGCCAATTTCAGACTTTCAGGAAAGAATAACCCTTCAAAAAAAAAAAAGGTGTTTTTCTGTGTTTTTAAACCCGTGAGCCTTTTTTTTTTTCAGTTTCAGAAATCAGAAAGTAAAGAAAACAAAATTTGTTAAAAACTGAAAAAATAATAAACCCTAAATAAAGTTTCGTGGTATAAAATTTATATGAAGTTTTATAAATAGAGTATATGAAATTTTTATTAAAAATGAGTATATAAAAAATTTAATAAAAATATTTAAATTGATAAATTAATAAAATTTAATGTAAAATTTAATAATATATAAAAAAATTATTAAAAATAGTATTTATAATTTAAATTTAATCAATATTTATTCAATAAAAATTTCAATCAATAATTTTATTAAAAATATTTATTTAATAAATATATTAAAAATTTTAAAAATTTTATGTACTTAATTTATATAATAAAATTTTTTAATTTATTATTTATTATTTATTTATTTTTAATAAAAGAATTTTATAAATTTTGCCTCATGTAAAATTTTTCCCTCTTTGTATGTGTATTTTCTTTTTTCAAATGGGACAGTAAGAGGGGTTTACACTTCACACGAAAAAAGCAACCGACAAGCCGACAATGAACGACTGAAACGCCGTCGTTGGGAGGGTCAGTTAGTCGCTTCCCTCTTTCCATGGTGGCAGGAGGGTTTTGTTCTCTTACTCACAGTGTCGCCGTCTGATTATGCCCTGTCATTTAACCTCATCACTCTGATCCCCTATCCTTAGGGTTCCGCAATTTTCAATTAGTAGTATTTTTCATAAATTAATCAAACAAAAAAAATTAAAAAAAGAAACAATATCTAGAAAAATTATTGATAATAGTATGATATTGAAAAAATCATTACTTTTTAACAGGCTTAAAATTGAGAGAAGTAAATATACATACAAATGCATTTGAGTTCACCATTGCCAATCAATTAAGCTAGGTCCAAGGCAGCAATGGAGATTAAGGAAGGAAATGAAAAAAAAAAAGGCTAAAATATAAAACAAATATTAAAATTTATCAACAATAATATCAATAAATTAAGTCTTATTCTCATAATTCTAAAATGAAATGTATAAAAAGTTAAAAAAGAATTATATTATGTGTAATTTTAAATCTTTTTATGTCACTCATTTTTATAAAAATAATTTTTTTATTTATTTCTTTAACATTTATATTATTTTTTATTACTTGTATCTACGTTTTTTATTGTCTACTCTAAAAGTTTTGATCTCTTTTAAATCTAAAAATAAATTTTTATATTTTTTTGTACTTAAATTATTTTTTATTTTTATTTAAATAAATCTTTATTTTAAATTAAAAAATTAATTTATGTTAAAAACTTATTTATATACAAATTAAAGACTAATAATTTATTTATATATAAATTAACCTTTAAAAACTTATTTGAGTCCAAAGTAAAGGTTAAACATTTTATTTTTGTATAATAAAAATATAAAAATTTATTTAAGTAAAATAATAAAATTCACAAATATTTTTATTATTTACAAAAAAGAAAAAAAAACTGCATTGTTCTGAGCTTCTAAACGGTCGCTAACTAGACAATCCAACCTGAATAAGACGCCTCTACATTGCTCTTTAGCTTTCTCCACAAATTCAAAAGCCAATTCTCATCGCCGTTAGCACGAATTGCCACTGATTAGAGATAAGTAGAGGCTGCAGACTTCATCGATCGGTTCCTAAGATGATCTTCGAAAAATCTAATTCATTATTTCCTTCTTGATTTATTGATGAGCTGCACGGTAGTACTGATGATGATAAACTCAAAGTAACGTCCTTCAAGCTTGTGCAACGGAGTTCATCATCTTTAATTTCAAGATCTGAACTTTTTCATGATATTTAATTGTTAATGAGTTGAAACTCATTGGCGTAACTTTTGTCGAAACTTTTGTATGGAAGAGAATTTTGGATTCAATTTTCCTATTAGTTTGTATTTTATTACAAGTAGCATATGAATTATATATAAAAATTAATTAGTAATTGTAAAATGTGTGATCAAATGTAAGCATATATATTGTCAGGAATGCATGTTATTGAGCACACAATATTGTGCAGGATGCATGAAAACGATTTTAGCATGAAATAACTAGAATGCATGATAAATGCATATAAAAAACGGATGTGAGAAGGTTTTGGCTTTAGGTTAAATTAATTTGAATGAAGATGCATTTGGAAATTGCATTAAGATTTTGGAGGAAATTAAATTTTAATCTTATAAAGTAAGAATATTCAGAAATATTTGAATTTAATAGTTATCAAGCTAGGACCAAGAAATAATAATATTCTAGACTAAAGCTTCATTCAGCAACCAGGTTGAGTTTCGGTACAGTATGAAACAACAAACCTTGCTACTCATAGAAAGTTAGTTTGGTTTTCGACAACACGATTAAGAGTTATGAAGCACAGACATGGCATCCACCCTTTTGTATTGGTATTGGACATGACAAAATATATATCCGACAAGCATGGACACGCTAAAAATTTGATGATAAACCCAAGGATGTAATTTTCCTTTTTTTGGTTTAAATTTTTTCTTAAAAATCATAAATATATAGAAATTTTAATAAAAAAATAAAAATTCAGTTTTTATTTGAGTCATATTATTTATAATTATTGTCGTATAATTAATTATAGTATAATTAACTAATTTTAATTCAAAATTATGTGAAATTCATTAAAATTTTATATGCAGTTAATATTTATAAGTAATGAAACTTTATATGATTTTTTAATGTAATTAAATAATTATAATATTATAGTAAAAAAATTGTAAGTCAAATGTTTCTTTTATTATCTAACTCCAAAAAGCAAAAAAATAATTACCCAACTATGAAGTTGGTTTGGTCCATTTTTTTTTTTTATATTTATATCTTATTTCCCTTCGATGAATATTATCTTTATATTGATATTGTTTTGGTTTATTCAATTTTAATATTATGAGTCCTAATTTGAATAGGAATTCTTATGATATCAATTTAGGATCTATGATTTAAAAAAAGCTGTTCTTTCTATAGAATGATTCCCATTTCAGTCGATTTCATTCAATGCAACGATTGACCAAAAGAAAATTTTAATAAATAATAAAATAAATTGCATGAACTTAGCTCAATCAAATATTGATATTGATTTTTTATTTTTATGCAATGATTTGGTCTAATGAATTCGTCTATTTATTTAGATTGTATCCGTGTGAGATAATGATAAATAAAAGGAAGGGACGAATTGACAAAAAACGATATAAAAAATGATTAGAAAAAAAAGGGGGGAATAATAAATTCAAGATTTAAAACAAACTGATCAGAAATTAGGAAAAACGATTTCGGAAAAAAATTAACAGAGTTTTCCAACAATTTGTTGGCATAAACACATTCATGTATTATTTTCGAATAAAAAAAAAATACAAAAGCACACGTTCATGTATTGCAGTCCTACCGTAGTTCAATTAGCTGGTTTTGCCTCTAACCGCAGGCTTCAGTATCTTAGCTCCCTTGTGAACGAATACTTAATAACAGGATGAAGAAGCTGCTAATTTGGAGTAGTAATTTCAAGTTTTTCTCCTGAAATCTCTTCCGACAAATTAAAAAAAAATCAAAAACATTTTTTTTATGGGGGCTATATGAAACTTTATGATTTTGAGCTTTACAATGACTTATCACTTGTTCCCTAACAAAAAAGTTAATTCTCTTCATTTTCCTACAAAATTTAAATGTCAACAATAAAACGGGTAATATCCTGATTACTCAACCAGGTGGAAACAACATTGAGTCGTTAAGGCATTTTTTGTCTAATAATCAGATATACTGCACTCATTAAAGATCAGGCAAACATCTACAATTGTTTCTTTTTT